AGTTGTTAAGGGACATTGTTGGCCTTCTAAGGACTGAAACCACACCGAGCGGGATCAATATCTCCGGCTCAACACCAGTCAGTCAGAACTGATGAAGCCTTTTGGATGAGAGGTGAAACGTCTTCGACCTAGAAATCTAGTCCAGTTGATTTTTTCTAAGTTTTTTCAGTGTAACCGGTTATATTTCTATAGTAACCTGCCCAACACTGTTAGGTAGGTATTATTTTTATGATGGAAAATAGCACATGCACCATCCCTTCAGCTTTCTCTAGAATCTCAATGGTGTCAAAGGCTGAACATCAAACTGTAACACATTTATGGTATCAAACCAGAATATGTCTGTAGTAGTGGTAGAAAACTCATCACTAAAGCAAGCATACCTAACTCAGGTGATACATGTTTATAATACTCAGACCGAATTTTACATTTCCGGAAAGTTAATGCGGTGACAATCATTTTGTCTTCTGACTCAATGATCTTGAGGCAAACAGTAAATGCTGTAAATGTTGTCATGATTTGTCATGCTTATCATACAGACAGGTGACAAATGAATGGAAAAACCAGAATAAATAGGTGGTCTCTTCCAGGATGACAATGCCACCACTGAAAGGTTTGATGAGTATGAAAATGATGTGAATCATACACTGTGGCCGTCACAGTCACCAGCTCTCAACCAAGTTTGGAGCGACGTGTTAAACAGAGCCTCCACCACCATCATCAAAATGTCAAATGAGGGAATATTTGTTGGAAGAATGGTGTTCATCCCTCCACTAGAGTCAGAGACTTGGACAATTAATGTCAAGCAGCCCTGAAGTTGTTCTGGTGGCACGTGGTGGACCGACACCATTCTGATACTTCACGTTGGTTTGTCCTTTCATTTTGTTACCTGTGTGTATGTCCTGTTGTTCTGAACCGTTTGTAAAAAAAAATGCTATTATACAAAGAGGTGGAAAAGGGTCATATAGACAAATGCGATAAATGACTGAGAGATGACAAGAAAACTGGATGTTTAGCAGCTGGAAGCAGAAGGTTAGAGTTCAGCTTAAACCCCACAAATCACCGAGTGCTTCAGAGAGCATGTTATCTACACTTGTGTGTCATCTGACCCTGATTATTAGGCATCAGAGACTAACCTGGCACTTACTTAGATGTTATTTCAATCCCTGACTGACGAACACAGACACACAGTGAGAAAAGTGCTGGCTGCAGATCTGTTCCCATGGTAACACACTATTGACTGAGGATGAAGATCTCTGTAGACCTATTAAAGAAACACCTACACACACAGATGCACAATCACATACTGTACTGTTTGTTCACACACACAACCATAAATCGCACACCATGTTATAAAGGGAGATGGAGAATATGAAATACAGTGAGAACATTTTCCCTCTAACAGACCTGAAATACTTGAGTAACCAGGTAAGAGAGAGAAAGTCAAATCTCCTCGAGCCATGCTATGGAAAAGCTCACTCGTAAGTGGCACAGCAGTGCAATATAAAAGAGGATATGCTGAGAGTGAGTGGGTGATTTGCTCAGATTTAACAGGGTAGGCTGGCCAGATAAACTGTCTTTTTCCAATAATTTAGCAATCTTTTCCATATTCTAGATCTTTCATCACATCTACACTTAACAGGGTGGTCTGCATTCAGCAAATATGTGCTTACTTTAAGGGTACAGTCTTTCTTTGTCAGCTTCAAATGACTCGCAAAGAAGAGGTGGCATGTGTATATATGATAAGCCAGCATTTTATTCATTTCCCACTTAAAAAGTAATAAGAGAGGTTGCTGAGGTGGTAGTCATAGCCTTGTTCTGACTTTCTGACCCTAAGTGTCAGCCAGTCCAGGCCAACAGAACAGCAAATAAACAATTCAACAATTTAATCACAATTGTGATGTAATTATATAAGCCATTTGTTGTGATTTGTCCTCCAATTACTCAGTTTTAAAAAATTAGAAGGATGGCTTTAATGTCATGTTTCTCAAAGTGATCCTGGACTTTTGAGTATTCAGCCATGCTGTGGTTAGGCAGGACATTTTTTTGGATATCATCAAATTGTGTTTACGAGTGAAGCTATTAGTTGCTGTCCATAAATGCCAATTACCACAATGAATGGCAGCACAACCTCCTTCATGTAATCACTGAGACTGTAAGTTGTCCACAGCTTCTACCAATTAACAGAACAATGATTTTATGGAGACCTGAGACCCACTTATCACTTCATTCCTACATTTTGAAAAAAACAACAACGGGTTACTTGCGAGTCAGATTTAAATAAAAAGCCCAATATATCATGAAGACTATTCACTTTGCATGAAATGTGATGTTGACCCAGTGTATATTATGGTACCTCAGAAAAAACAAAATTTTTATTTTCTTTATTTGTCTTTAGGTCTGAGTACTGGTTGACTTATGTAAGGTACTATACATACAGACATGCTTTTGTGTTTTGGTTTTGACTAATCACTTGAACTGGGAAATATAAAAAAAGAAAGGCA